GTCCTTTATATCGTACGATAATTTTGTCGCCAACAACCCTTAGACATTAAAGATGCATAAAATGGGATATGTGCATTACAAAGTGACTTTGTTCATCAATTGTTAAACGATGAACACATTGTGAAGTTTGATTAGCGCTAATGATCAGATTTTAGAACCTACCTTGAATTCTTGCTATTGATAGAGAATTTGATTGCAGTTTGATACAGTTAGAATTTTGCAATTGGTAGAACATGCTTGTCTTATTCTATAATTTGACGAACTTTACTAGTTGTTGCTATTTTGGTATACGATCTCAGTTGACGTACTTTACTCGTTGTTTATGTTACTTATTTTATGTTCGCAATTACAAATTTTCGCTATTTATTAAGTAGGACAGTTTAACAAATAAGAAAATTACAAGTTTTACACATTCGCCCCTTAAAGTATAATGTTATGCGTTGTGTTTTAAACATATTGTTTGCTAAATAGGGCAGCTTGCGATGTAATGAACCAAATAAAGTCGCTAGTTTCATTGTACGCTTTAAAAGTTTATAGTTTGCTATTTGCTATTTGTTGTTTGTTGTTTACAGAATAAAAGATGTAGTTAGCTATTTGTTGAATAACTTTGTGTTAGTTGTTTGTAGTAAATTAACCAAATATATATTGATGCAATTTGTTATTTGTTGAATGGTAAATGGTTATGTTCATTGTAAATGATAAAACAGGAACATAAGCTAATATAAAAAACAAAAAAAGAATTCAAAAAAAAAAGCTTGAAAAGCATAACACAAGTTCTTAAATGGAACATGAAAAGCATAACTGAAAACCATCACCACTAAGAATATATCGGATTTGTACCAGACTTCTTGTTGTGACTGCTAAGTTCTTCACATCTCCGATCCCACATCTTATTTTCCTCTTTATCTTCTCCCCAACAGACGGTATCCTCTTTTTCTTTGGTCTACCACGACGTGTTTTAAATTGAGGAGGGCGAACACAAACTTCATCATTCCTTGAACTGTGTCTCACAAACGGATAAATGGGTGAGGCATAATATTCCCTATAATATTATGCGTAATATAATTTGTCAATGTAATCGTACGGTTGTGACGTCTCATTCACTAATACATACACCGCATGAACACACGGGAACCCAAGTATCTGCCATTTTCGACATGTGCAAGTTTTTTATAACTCAGACATAGGCAACTCCACTTCGAGCAAACAAACTCAACTAATTTCTTATAACTCGTTCCATCCGACGCTTTCTTCACCGATACCAATACCTCATACCTGATCACTAATTTTGTGGAGAACGATAACTGCAAACAATATTGAACGAAAAATAAGTTGTAAAAACGACGATTAATAAATAAAAAATTCAAAACAATAAACATCAATTGACAAACCTTTGCGTATAATTCATTTTCATGTCGATTGCAGGCAAAATGCTTAACTAATTATCAACACCGACTCTTGCGTTCAATTGTAATACGCTCATATTGGTTTCCCGAACTCTTCATGAAGATCGCATATTTCACTTGAATCGACTAAGATATTCAGTAACATTTTGATCCATATTAAGTAACATTTTGATCCATATATGTATTAAATTAGTATTCGGCAATAATACAATATAACTCTGCCTTAGTGAATTTTTTTTAATAAACTGTAGCTCACAAAGACTACCACTTATTTGAGTTAAGAATCTTGAGATGATGAAATTTGTCTCGACATACATATCGAGCATTCGTCAAATCAAATCTTTAAACGTGAATTATTTTAAAATGATTTTGAACATCCGTTTCATGTTTAAAATATAGTGATAAATCATTAAGTCCAGAAGTACATTATCTCAGTACTATCGGTTTAGTGCACACCAACGTATGTTGGTAATTGCATAGTGTTGGAGATATTAATATTAAATGATACATTTCACTAACAGCTTAAGCTTTTTGGTAGATATGGTCATTCAACATGGTATCAGAGCCTGGCCAAATGAAAGGTTCTGAGTTCGAATCCCACCGCCACCCAATTCAAATATTTCAAGTGCAAGGCTTCAAATATAATTCGCCTGCACTTGAGGGGGCGTGTTGGAGATATTAATATTAAATAATACATTTCACTAACAACTTAAGCTTTTGGTAGATATGGTCAGAAGTTTGATATCTTACCAAATGTTGGTAAGAGGTATGAAAAAGAAAAGAATTAGGAATAATTAGTGAAAACCTCTGGTCAGAAGTTTGATATCTTACCAAATGTTGGTAAGAGGTATGAAAAAGAAAAGAATTAGGAATAATTAGTGAAAACCTCCTAACACATTAGGTTGATAAGAGTGGATTCACATCCTTTTTCAATTAGGGTTTTTGTGCATAAGTCCCAAACCAAGCATTTTTATTATTCTAGGTTGGGCGAATGGCAAAAAAGTCCATCACATGGGACTTAAATGCACATTGGTCCACAAAAAAACAGTTAGGACTGTGCGTTGGTTGGGTTGGTTAAAAACCAGCCATAAAACCAACCCAAACCATCGAACCGACTTTTGTAAATATTGGAAACTGTTATCGACCCAATTTACATGAGTTGGGTGATGGTTGAAAACCAATTTAGTGGGTCGGTTGATGGTTTGGTTATGGGTTGAAAATTGGTTAATTGATGAAATTGAGCTAAATTGGGGTGTAAATCATGAAATTGGAGTTGAATTGGATTTCAATGAAGTGGGGGTAAAAAACCCGAATATTTCGGGTCGGGTTTGGGTAGTATTTGTTTTTGCAAAAAACCCGAATAACCCGACCCGAATAACCAGAATAAGCCGACCCGACCCGAATGCCCACCCCTACCTCATACTACTCTAGAACAAACACAAGCAGTTGTGAAACGCTTGTTTAGTAAGAACAAAAAAAACACATGATTAGTCTTGTGTGTTTTAGGACTTTATGTATTTTTTGTGGGTTTTGTTTGGTTTAGATGTTTTTATTTTATTTTTTGTTTTAGATGGATGTTGTTTGGTTTAGATGTTTTTTTTTTTAATTTAGTTTTATATGGATTTTGTTTGTTTTAATTTTTTTGATAATTTGGAAATTTTTTTTTTTTTTTTTTTTTTGTCAAAAAACACTTAGAATATGTTTTTTTATGTTACATTGAAATAGATTTTAAGTTAGTTTCACAAAAAAAAAAAAATAATACAAGTTTTGTATTCCGACCATCCATTTATGCAGGCTTCCAACCATGAGCTTTAGGATCATGGCATCGGTACCAAAAATCGGCGATAGGAGGTATTGGACAATTGTTGTTCAAGACAACATGCACGAAGTGACAGTTGTCGACGAATGTCATTCCATGCTCTTGTCTCTCTCTAAAAAGCATCGGATCGCTCGATAGAGGAAGGAATGTGAGACAGTGATAGTTGGATAAGTAGACAAGCACAATATTGTATGTTGAAGCAATTACATGACCCGTATTTGGAAAAGACATCCAATGGTCAAGCGTGGCAGGATCATCCTAGTTACTCACAATAGTTTGCATGGTTATAACGGTTTCTTCGCCATGGTGCATGTCCGCGTAAATGAAAAAATTAGCAGTCAACTCCCGTAGCATGTCATCTCGTACTCGACCCCATTCAACTTCCCCAAATCCCATCATAGAGGTAACTGTCCGAAATCCACAGTGGCCATCTGAACCGACATTGATGATTTCTCCAACATGCATACGAAATCGTGGATGGATCGTCTCAATATACTTATTCTTGCCGATCAAATCTGGTGGCAATCCTACATTTAACTCTTCAAATAATTGTTTGAATGACTCTTGCGTCGGTATAGTGTTTTTCCCTGACTCTTGAGTTGGTATAATGCTAATAGAATCATTCGAGGGCACTTTAAATCTCTTCAGTACGTACAAGTTTCTTGAAAGGTATAAGCTGGAGTATATTAACATGAATTACTTAGCACAATTATAAAATGCAACAACAATAATGAAATGAGACGATAATAGCGACATTTACCTTTAGAGAACAACTAGCTTGCGTCGATTTTTTTTCTTTGGCTCCAAATACTCAAAATGTGATTTGTCACGAGTGCTTGATTTGTCTTTCTTATTTTTCGCCGGTCGACCTTTGCTAACAACTTTTTCACTTTGCTCCGTAAGGTTAGTCTTCTCTGGGTGGGTAAAACGTCTCAAATGGTTGCGCAATTGAGTCTTTGCATCAAGATCGGCAGATTCAAAGAGCTTCTGGTATTCTGATAATTCTTAGTCGATGGTTGGTAGAATGACTTCGTCTGTGGTCGCGACGGTCTCCATGCTCATGTGTTTCCAGTACGAGCCTATTAACTCAAGTGGGATAGGACATTTGTTCACAACAACATATTCATGAAGGTCATGGCAACATGGTAGACCGTGAGTTGTTCGGATGGCGCAACTACAACCCATATCACTCGGTTGCAATAGTTGCTCATTGTCCACCTCAACTTTCAGTTGTTCCAGAGCGAATTTTGAGATACTTCCATGAAGCTCATTGTATATCAACGTTTTGAAAGTATGTTCGTAAGTATTTTTACTTACTTCAAAAGAAGCTTTGGTATCATTGTGTTGTTCGAGAATTTGGTTGTGGACTTTCGTATACAAATCCACAAAGGTGCCAGTTGAATTACGCACATCCGTTTTCATTCGTCCGTGTGCCCCTCCACTCTACTAGAAGTGTACGTTCCAAAATGAGTACACTTATTTATCCACACCGATGCAAGTCTCTCCTTATACGAATCCAACCATGAATTAGCTACATGTGCTATAGCCGTCGCATAACCAACAAATGTTCTTTTCATTGACTCCCAATCCTCATTGAACTTCTCTATAGTATTTCTTTCAATAAGAGTCGAAAAAGCCGACTGAAATTGCTTCCACTTGGTATTGTCATTTGTGAACATTTTCTTACAATTGACCAATGTATGTTCACATGCCACCGACATAGCAAGTGATGACTCGATGGATACACATTGGCTACTGCTTTGTCATGGCCTCCATCAAACAACGCAACGCCCATTTGTCATGGCCTCCATCAAACAACGCAACGCCCATTTGAAAATTTCCGTCTTTTCGTGATCCAAGTATGCAAAGGCAATGGAGAACGTCATGTTGATACAAGTAAAACCCATAATCTCAAGAAATGGGAGTCCGTAACGATTGGTTTTGTACGTGCAATCCATGACAAATACGTACGGATACGACTGTGCCAACTTAATGCATTTCGGGTGGATCCATAACAAGTCGGTAATCTCATTAAACTTGTTCGATCTATGGTACGAGAGGTATTCATCTTCTTTCAACTTGGCGAACAATAGTTGCAATTGAGATCTCCCAGATAATTCATTGAAATTTAACTGTTGGATAGTATTGTAAACTGTCTTCATACCAATTACAGTAGATGGGTCATTTTGCTTCAATAATCTTAGAATTGCCCTTGGTTTCACCATTGCTTTCTTCAAAGTGTGAACAAGTGAAGTCTCCTCCTTTGATTATCTTCCGGCATAAGAATGTCCGTGCAAGTTTTCAAACAAGTTGTGGTTGTGAATACCACTATGAACATCCAATTTACACTCAACATTTTCATCATCCTTGTGTTCTTTTGTCCCCTTCAATTTAAACAGACAATTGCATTTCTTTGAACCGGTGCTCGTCTTTCCCGGTCTTTGATCATCTTCACCGGGTACCTTCTTGCCAGCATAAAGGCCCTCACGCTCACAACAAACAATCACATACGGTGTCCTACGTCCTCTATTCCCGTCACTCGAACCCGCGATCATTAACACCATTCCAATTCTTTTACATACTTCACGAACCCATGCCAATAAAGCTTCTTTTGTTGGGAATTTTTCTGACGTGGTAAATAAATGGGTGCAATCGATCTACATAAAAGTGGAGAGAAGATTAGACAAGTAAATTTGTAACAGAAAAAAATCGACACTTAAGTGTCGAATTTTGAACTAATTTTCGATATTATGTTGTCGAAAATTAGTACAACAATCGACACTTAAGTGTCGAAAATAATGGACAAATTCGACACTTAAGTGTCGAAAATAGTGGACAAATTCGACACTTAAGTGTCGAAATATGACTTTATATAATAATTGATATTATATGTTTTCGACGAGTAACTGTCGAATTTGTCCACTATTTGTCCACCATGTTTCAAAATCAGAATTTTAGTCCTGTAAGTTATAAAAGTTGAGAATTTTGGTCATATGACCTGCTATAACAGATAATGTGATGGTTGGTTGAATGAGTTGACATTTAAAATATAAAAGTAAATAGATTAAAAATAAATTAGGTGATGTGGCTAATGAGTTGGACAATTTTGAAGGGAAATAAAATATACCATCAAATTATTTTTTTTATTTGATGAATGAAATAAGCATTTTCGTAGTAACTATTTTTAATTAATATTTCATAGTTCTCAATTGATAAAAATAGTAATTAACTATATTTTATTACTCGTTATGGATATTTGTTACTCTTGGTTTGATAATGTATTTTATGTTTGGAGGCTCTATAATACTTTTTTGGTAAATTTAATTTAATAGAGTTTTTAATATATTTTATAATATTTTGGTTAATTCGTAAATGTGTATTTGATTTCTTATACTAATTATGATTGTGCATGTTATTTAACTTAACAACAAAGTTTAATAAAATATGTTTTTTTTTCGATTATATGTTGAATTTGATTGTTGGTTCAATTTCATTGTAATCACTAAGTACGGATTTGTGAAAAAATGAAATATTTAGATAAATATAAATTTAATTACTATTTTTATCAAATAAAAACTAAAAAATATTAATTAAACATTAGTTAGTCTTATTTCCTTCATAAAAATATAGTTGTAGATTTTATTCAATGGGTTTATTGTGGTTCTTTATTGCATATATAACAAAAAAATTAAATATATAATTAATAATTAATATGTTAAAATTTCGTCATTATTTGGGTGAATTTGACATTGAGGATCATTTTTTTCTCAAAAAACATCCAACTCATTAGCCACATCACCTAATTTATTTTTATATTTTAAATGCCAACTCATTCAACCAACCATCACATTAATACATGTTATAGCAGGTCATAGGACCAAAATTCTCAACTTTTGTAACTTACATGACTAAAATTCTGAATTTAAAACATGGTGGACTAGAACTCTCAACTTGTAAATTTACAGGACTAAAAAACTCATTTTTCCAAACTTTAAATATGTTTTTAGAAAAATAAATAAGTTTTTTAAGTATTATTTGCACTGTTTTTTAAAAACAAATTAATTATTTTAAAGTTACTACTAAGAATTGGCCGATTCTACTAGTTAGAATCGAAAACCGAACCGTAACCGAATTGTAAAGAAGCGGAAATATTCGGTGCGGTTCCGATTCCTCCAAAATCGAACCCGGAACCGGCGGTTTGGAATCGAAACGGAACCGAACAGAACCGAACCGTGGTCATGTCTAATCCCTAGCATGCATGCACGAATACTAATGTTAGTAAAATTATTAATTTAAGTATAGAAGGGGTAAATGAATGATGACATTGACAATTCCAAAGCGTTTTAGGAGATGAGGTCTGATACATATATTATTGTCCTAGCTACATTTTCCCATCCATAGACTGTGTCCTAAGTCCCAAACCCCACTCATTGCATGTAGTTAACCAAGACACACTCTCAACGTAAACAAACCCTAACTTTTGCCTTTCCATATTCTGCAGGTTACATTTCCTAAGCTCTTCTTTTTTTTTTCTTTTTCTTTATTTATTTATTTTTCATAGTTATGATCAAAGATTACCAGTATGGTTTCCCCATTAGCTGCTACCCAGTAATTAATCCAAAAATATCCCCAGAAAAAAAAAAGAAAAAGAAAATGTCGACAAAGAAAAACCTTAAAAAAATTCTAGGGTTGGACGTTGAATATGAACTTGATTCTTCATCTGAGCTGTCGGAAGAAGATGAAGAAGAGGGCTCTATGCTGAAGAAGATGAAGACAGAGGATAAAATTCCAGGCTTTATTGACTATGTTTTCTCTTGGTCAATTGCTGATATATTGAACACAGATCTTTACAAGGATAAGGTGGTTTCTTCAATATCTATATTAATAATTAATATTAATTCTTACATCCTTAATTTTTCCAAATTATTTGACTATGGTCTATGTGTGTGTATATATATATATATATATTATTGGCAGGTGAATCCAATTCCAGACACATTCTCATCATCAGTTAATTATTTGGAGTCATTCGTCAACCCTCTTCTCGAAGAAACGCACGCCGACTTACGCTCCAATATGCTGAGTGTGTACTCTGCACCTGTAAGCGAAATATGCGGTGTCCAGACAAGGGGGATACCAGCACTTTCAGACAACTTATCATATTCAATAGCGTTGAATAATAATCGAAGGAATAATTACGAACCGGGGCATGGCGATTTAATTGCGATAACGGATGTGAGACCGAATTGCATTGATGATTTGAACAGGCCTAGAATATCTTATGTTCTTGGTTTAGTCGAAGGGACAAAGGAAAAAGTATCGAATATGATTCCGATTCTGTCGTCGAAAACTATTGCATTCGACCGAGAAAGAGACACACTCTTTGCTGTGTTCCTTACAAACTTGACAACAAACAGGCAGATATGGAATGCATTGCATCACGGTGGACAAGGAAATACAGACATCATTAATTCCGTTCTTAAAATCGATCCATTAGCTGTAAGAGTTATAAGAGTTATATATATATATATACTCCCTCAATAACTGTCTCTTCTTAAAAATATTTTTAAGAAGAGAGTTATAAGAGTTATATATATATATATATATATATACTCCCTCAATAACTGTCTTTTCTTAAAAATATTTTTGTTCCAAATTATCTGTCGCAATAGATTTCCAATACTGCATTAAATCTGTATTTTTCCTGTTTTAACATTATTAATGCATCTCTATCCATTAATTTTCACTTATAAACTATTAAATGCTAAAGGTTGTTTTAGTCATTTTTATGTGATTTTACTAAAATCAAGCTACATTTATTGAAATTCTTAATCTTTGTGAAAAGTGAAAAGAGACACTTATTTAGGAACGGAGGGAGTATATATCACTAGAGATTCGGTTTTTTTTTTGTGTGTGTGTGTGTGTGTGTGTGTATGCTACATTTGAACTGTGAATATCTTAATTATTGTCCCTTTTATTGTATGGTGTGAAGGTTGAAGAGGAGTGTAGTCTTTGCTCGTCTACGGAGAACGAGAGGGTTAATCGTTCAAAGGCAAGAAAAGTAATTGAGACCCTCGGGCTTAATCGATCCCAAGAAACGGCCGTTTTGAATTGCGTTGCGTTAAAAGAATGTGTCCATGGAAGTAGGGTGAAGCTGATATGGGGCCCACCTGGAACCGGAAAAACGAAAACGGTGGCTTCGTTACTGTACACGCTTTTGCAAATGAAGTGCAGGACACTGATTTGTGCTCCGACTAACGTCGCTGTAACAGGAGTGGCAAAGCGGTTGATGAGTTGTTTAACTAGTGGCAAATTGGAGAATAATATAACTTACGGGCTGGGCGATATAGTTTTGTTCGGAAACATGAAGAGAATGGAGATTGTCGGGCACAAAGATTTGCACGATGTATTCCTTGAAAATCGTATTTCGGTATTAGCTCAATGTTTCGCCCCACACTCTGGCTGGAAAGGTAGTGCATGCGAGATGACGAGCCTACTTGAAAACCCTAAACGCGAGTACAATCATTACTTGGGAAATCCATACGAGATGAACGAACACGACTTTCCGTTGGCATTCGAGGACTTCTTTAGGGAGAAGTTATTCGTACTCGGGAAGCAGTTGGCCTTTTGTATAACAGGGTTGTACACTCATTTGCCTACTCGGTTTCTTCCTTTGGAAGTAGTGAAGGAAATGGTTAGAGTTCTCGATAAGCTACAATCACTCGAAACTTTACTGCAGAGTGTCAGTAAAGAGTGGTTACAGCGAGCATTGATTGATAAGGGAGAAGAGAGAGGTTTGATTAACCGAAAGGAAGAGAGTTTCGATAGTTTAATGATACGTAGCATCAAATTGCAGTGCCTGGAAGAATTGAAAAGCATCCGTGAAACTTTCTCGGAGCCGAATTTTAAGGAATCTCGTGGAATCAGGAACTTTTGCTTGTCGAATGCATGCTTGATTTTTTGCACTGCTTCAAGCTCAGGTAAGTTGCACGCACGGGAAATGACGGTACCGTTAGAAATGGTGATAATAGACGAAGCAGCACAGCTTAAGGAATGCGAGTCGACTCTTCCATTACAGATACCTGGTCTTCGCCATGCTGTACTTGTCGGCGATGAGAAACAACTCCCTGCTATGGTTACAAGCAAGGTTTTAGTAATCGAATTTTAAATTATTATTTAATTATCAATACTTGAGAAGTTTTATTGAATATATTAATTTTTGTTCGGTATTGACGTAGATATGTGAGAAAGCTGGATTCGGGAGGAGTTTATTCGAGAGGCTTGTGAAGTTAGGACACAGCAAACACCTTCTCAATATTCAGTACCGAATGCATCCTTCCATTAGTTTGTTTCCGAATAACGAGTTTTACGGAAAACAAATTACCGATGGCCCAAATGTTATAGAAAGAGCCTACGAAAAAGGATTCCTCGACGAAAAAATATACAGCCCGTTTTCTTTCATAAATATAACAAATGGGAAAGAGGAGTTCGATAACCGGCATAGTCGGAGGAATATGGTGGAGGTCTCTGTGGTTACGGAGATAGTGTCCAAGCTCTATAAAGGTATATATTCTTATTAATTCTTAATCATTAGTACTCTATTTTTATTTTATTTTTTATTTTTAATTAATTATATTAATCGTTTTGTAGAATGTATGAAGTCGAAGAAAAGGGTCCGTGTTGGTTGCATATCGCCATACAAAGCACAAGTATTCGCAATTCAAGAATCACTTGGAAATTCTAATTACAGCACCGATGCAAATGATTTATTTTCGGTAAACGTGCGGTCTGTCGATGGTTTCCAAGGTGGTGAAGAAGATGTGATTATTATTTCTACCGTTCGTTGCAATGGGAGTGGATCCCTCTGTTTTCTCGATAATCGTCAAAGGGCCAACGTAGCTTTGACTAGAGCAAGGTAGCATCAATTCGTACATTATTAATAATTAATATAGAATTTTTCTAGTACCATGATCAAACACGCTGAAATACATTAATAATTTAATGATACAGGTACTGTCTTTGGATATTGGGTGACGGCAAAACTTTGTTGAACAGCCGCTCGGTTTGGCAAAAGTTAGTCACTGATGCTAAAAAACGGGGCTGTTTTTATAATGTGTACGAGGATAAAAACTTGTCACTCGCTGTGACCAACGCTCTAATTCGACTTCGGCAGTTCAATTCCTTGTTTAGTACGGATTCTATACTGTTCAAAGTGTCTAACTGGAAGGTATTATATTTTACGATTGCTTAGTGACTAATCAACGTAGCATTAGTGACAATATATGTTTTGTCACTAATACTTCCAATTTGTTGTCACTATATATATTTTGAGACACGCCTGTAGCGAACAACATAATGACAAAAATGATTTGCGTTTTGATAATATCGGTGTTGTCGCTAAAATGATTATTTCTTGTAGTGATCACTTGTTTGGATGGTTATTGAAAATCAATAATGTCAAATTACGTGATCTTGTACTAATTTGTTCTGTATAGGTTTGCTTCAGTCCCCAATTCCACGAGTCTATTACCAGAATACATGACGTGGAAATGCAGAGAGAGGTGGTTTCTATACTTGTGAAGCTTTCGAGCGGGTGGCGTCGTCAGCAGAATAAAGACAAAAACGCCCCTAATTCCAACATGAATATTGAAGGAGGAGGAGGCTATTCTCCGTTATTGGAATTGTATGATGTAAAGCGGCCAATAATACTCGTTTGGACTACCGAAACTGTAATCGAAAATTCGACAGAAATGCAAGTTATCAAAGTTTTGGATATCTTGCCTCGGTCGAAGATATCTGAACTGGCAAGGAGATTTGATCGTGTGGTGGATAGCTACACTAGAAATCAAATGAGTCGTTGTCGATGCAAGCAAATTCAAGAGTAATTAATTAGCTTTCTATCTCACAATATCAATTGCCTTTGTTTTCGAAATTACTAATTATTAAGTAATGGAGTGCATGTTTAATTTGCTTATTTGATGATATAATGAACAGGGGTTTGGTGGTTCCGATGACATGGCCAGTTGACCACGGCAAGGGTCAAAGTGATGAGCTGGCATCAAGAAGCTTAAGACGTAATCTTGGCCCCACAGCTTCCGCAACAAGGTATATATATCTATGCACACTATTTTGATTATTGATTACCGAGTACGTGTTTTCTTCAAATTAATCGATGAATTAATATATATTGATCGAGATAATTGTGATTAGCAGAAGAAATGAAGAATCATTATTGTTAATTCTGATTAATTACGACAATGATTTGATTCCTCCGTTTTACTAATTTTGATTTTCGATTCCCGATGACAGAAAATATCGTGGGGTAGAACTGTAGAAGAAACAAAGGAACCGAAGTAGCAACAAACAGATGGAGCTAGGTGCTAGCGAAGTGTGTAGGGTGAAGTTTGAACCAAATATATTATCTTGTTTTTTTGTACGCTCTACGTAGTTTTGATGGACTAATATAATGACCTATTGCATGCATGTACTGACGTTTTACGTTGAATATTTTAATATGCAGTGCTACTTTATATATATATATATATATATATATATATATATATATATATATATATATATATATATATATATATATATATATATATATATATATATACTACAAGAAAAAAGACTTTCAACAACACATATTTAACAACGTCCATGAAAAGTGTGTTGTGATTTTATATATTTAACAACATGCTTTTAATGCATGTTGTTATTAGTGAATAGTGGATATATTTGACAACATTCTAAATCAGCATGTTGTTAAATATACATATTACAAGATGCGCTCACGAGTTGTTAAATTATTCAATGTTCCACCAGTACTACAAGATGATGTGCGTGTTGTAAATATTTATTACATACGACAAGATACCATTGCATCTTGTAAATTTGTTCAATTTTTACTAGCCACAAGTTAAGGATTGTCATTATAATAATAGATATTAAAATATCACTATAACATAATATATATTTAAATAATTAAAAATATATAAATATATATATATAAAAAAACAAAATATATAAATATAAATATAATAAGCATACGGAGTGTATGTGCTGTGCTGGCTTATCAATTAAAAACTATTAATTGAGTCTTTTGCTATGTATATGATTTCTCCATCGAACGACTCCATCGAAGAACTACCGTCGTTCTCTTCTCTATCAACGGTTGTCGGCGAAAAGTTCACCACCACCGTAGAGTAATCGTTGCTCTCTATATTACGTCCTATTGAAAAATTCTCCTGATTTCTCTTCTCTTTCCATCAGCTACCGTCGCCGGCAAGAACATCACCACTGCACAGGTAAATTGGGGTTTTTGTTTGAATACCCTAAATTGGGGTTTTTGCTTGAATACCCTAAATTGGGTTCTTCTGTTTGTTTGTTTTTCTCACGAGGAGTCTTCTGTTTGTTTGTTTTTTTTTTTTTTTAATTTTTTTTTTTTTTTTATTTAGGGCTCTTTTATGTTGGGAATGAAATTAGGTTTTCTATGAGTAATTAAGTGCCCGACTGTTGTTTTGAAATCATATTTCTATAATAGATCTGTAATTTATTGATTATTTAAATTATATGTATGTCGATTTCGTTTCATTGAAGAGCCGCATATTCTTGTGGTGTGACACATTGAAGAGAGACATTCTCTCTTCGAGAACCATGAGCAAGGCAAGGATGCAAGTTTTTCTATGTAAGGTCTCTATGTCTCTCGTTTTTGTTGGTATTCTCTAAATTGGTTTTGTTCTTAAAATTGAATTTCGTATTTGTATAATTTTATTTCTTAAATTTCTTTAGGTTTCGTAAATGTTCATTATTCTAAGCGCATTCGCATATGTTGTTGTCCTTCATCGTCCATTTTTTTTTGTCTCCATCTTTTAATAGTGTTTTGCCTCAATCTTCTAATAGTTTTCCAGACTAATGTAAAGATTACCGGCTCTGGCTCTGTTTGTTTTGCAGTAACTTAATTTTACTGATACCTTTTAGCATATATATGCAGAAGAGTACCTCTCTCAATCCACTTAGGTATGTAATTCTTTATATTGTTTTTTGTCTTTTGTAATGGAGGAAATGGCTGGTTATGTCAAGTTAGATTGCAGATAGAAGACGAGTTGATCCAGTAACCAGAACAAGTTGTTGATACTTAGTTTGCTCAGTATTAAATAACATGTGATTTCTAGATGAATAATATATTAGCAGTTTGGTGGGATTTGTTGTTGGAGATAAATTACTATTACTGACTTTTTTTTGTTTAAATTTTTCTTCAAGTTCCTTTTATACATCAAAGAAGAAGATGTGATGTTATACAAGTAAGATTCCCTAAACCACTTTTGCTACTTTATGATGACTCACAAAAGAGAAGATATTTTGTTTTTCAGGAATATCCTAGGATTTTAGGACTTGGGCAAACATAAACTAGCAAACTAACAAGTCTTGGTAATAATTTGTCTCATTCATGGTAGAGAGGTTGGCATCAAATGTGTTGATCCGGCTTGCTTTGACTATTGTTATGTGCTCATTTTAGTAGCTTTTCTTTTCCTATAATCCACAGTTTCATACTTTAATCAGTCTGGAGTATTGGGCTTTCGAGATTCTTGTTTTATTACCGGGATTGAAGCCGAACTAAAAAATTACTACTTCAGTTATAGCAATGTGGTAAGTGTTATAGTACATGAACTTTTACTCTTCAATCAAACATAAGTCTATTCATATGTGTATAAAGCTTTTAATCATTTATTTCTGAAATTCTATATTCAGGGTGAATACAGAAACCATCTCGTACACGATTGCATATGGTCTAAGTTCAGCAGCTAAGTGACGACACAAGATAAGAACATTCTCTCTCTCTCCCTTTATTTGTTTGTGAATTCGTCTTATTATTTTTCATTTTCTCTTGTAGTACAACATTGTTGAAGGAGTTAGCAAAATATCCTAAGCTTTTTATTCAGGAAAGAGAGGTTGGCATCAATGTCGTGCGAGCTCTGTTATATTTTGCTTCATCGAACAAAATGTACATTGATTTACTTGTTTTTTGATCTTTTTTTTCGGTTGTGAAAGGTTGACAGTAATGTTAATGTAGATGAGTTTATTACTCTTGAGAATGATGGAAAGATTTTTTGTCATTGGATAATAATTATTTTAATGAAATGATATTTTTTCTATTTTTATGGATGGTTATTATTGAATTATTGTATTTCTAACAAATTAGCGGAAAATATTGAATTTCTTTTTTTTTTGAGAAAGTAAGTAAAAACTACAACATACATATAAATGATGTTAAAACTCTATTGCAAGACGCCCTGGTGTGCGGTCGTAAAACAAGCCACAACATGCATATGAATGCTGTGAATGCCATAGCGCAACATACATTGCATATTGTTGTAATGTAAACGACAACGCTTCTTACAACGTACATTGCACGTTGTTATTACGCAATGACTTTTAACAACATGTTGGTCCACAACGTGCGCGTGTACGTTGTGGAAATAGTTTGACAACGTCAGCGCATGT